TGTAACACCCCAGAAACTACAAAGACACCGGGATGCTACTAAATAGAAATACATTTAATGAAGAAGGAGAAATTTTGACAGCAACTCCTCTAAAACATAAGCATTGCGGAAGCGTCAAATATAAGTATAGCATTGCAAGTAGCCATCCACAAAAAAAAGGAGAAAGGAACATTCAGGGATGAAATAAACTAATTTGAACTCTCAGATTCATCTAGTGCAACTTAACAAGGGTACAATTCCTTTATTATAAAAATCATGACAACTTTAAAGATTAAGGTGGCAGTGTGGAATGCAGCTGTGCTTCTACTCCCGTTTCCCCCAAGCGAGCATGTCACTTTAAGCACCTGAAAACACTGTAGGGGTGTGAGAATAAATCTCAGCTGGCGATGGAGAGGGGGACGGAAGCGCACGCGCCAAGTTGTATGCCAGCTAGTAAGGCTGTAGCAATGTTAGCTCTCGTATGGATGGAGTTCTCCGGCAACTCTACGCTATGCAAGAAGAAGGTACCTTTTCTTGTACACGTCATCCGTGGTGTTTGTTGGTTCTGCTGTGTGTGTCTCCTTAGATCTACTAAGGGCTCCCTCCCATAATATACCTATCTTCTTCCTTTCTTGTTCGAATATACCTCCCTCGCCATCTGCCTTTGGATGCGACCGAGAATGGACTATGCTATTCCCATGTGTAATGCAAACATGCTGCTACTTCTTTTCTTTTTCTTTCTTAATGCATTGGCAATTATAGAGGGTTTTGTCTTACTAACAAAATTTTGGGTGAAGATGGTGCAGCCCTTCGCATTGGGAGGGAATCATGCTTGCATTCGTTCTTTGTTGCTATTTGCTACTCTTTATGCTCTTTTGCGGATTCTGTCCTTTGGGTTGTCTTAACTACAGGAACACGCAGGAGGAGGTGAAGGAAGTCCATGTGAAGCAAAATGTGCCTGCGCCATCTTCTTACTTGCTCAAGTCTAGGTAAAAAAGATCCCCTCTAATTCTCAAGTCATGCATAAATTTGTCTACTTTTTGGGCTGACGGTTTAGTTACAAAGCAGTATGACGTAATTCCTTTCTTTCTGAAGCTAACCACAATTATCTTGGATTTTTAATTTTTAATCTAGAGAGAAATGATGAAACTAATATGTATACATGATTATAATCTATAAACATCTTAGAGTAATGTGTGCTCCACTTCTTTGAATGCACTGCTGCACTTCATCTTAGTAATGTGTATATACATAATTATCTTAGATTTTCAATTTTTAACAATATTGAAACTAATCTCTGTACATGATTATAACATGTAAACAACTTAGAGTAATGTGTACGCCACTTTTTTTTTATTGATGCACTTCATCGTATTAACAAGATTTATTCAATCTCTCATTCGTTCTTTGTTGTTATATACTGGTGTTTATGCTCTTTTGCCATTTTTTTACAGGGGCTACAATCACTATTTGTCAAGGCATGCGGTGTTAGTGTATCTGTGCAAGTGGATATAAATATAATACAAAGGTTGATTCTCTAGTCAATTTTGCTTGTCAAAAGATAGGAGTCAAAACTCAAGACACCTATGCACTGTTGACTATGATAAATCATTGTCGGAGTATACTTTACATCGAAACTCAACTATTGAAATACGTTACCGAGAAAGAGTCGGACAGTGAGTATTATCTATTTAAAACTGATGTTAATTTTCTTTATTTATACGTGTCTATAACGTTGTAACATTGTGTTTTGCTGTAGGTGAATGACATTCGATAAAAAAAAATCAATGTTAATGACAGATTATTGTACCATACTGTTCCATTACATCTAGATCGTTAAGATGTTGGAATCATTGTACCCCAAGACGTGGTCTTTCTTATATTTTGCCTCCTACAATATTCAGAAGCTGTTGATGCATGTTGCTGGACTACATCGTGAAGGGTTGTGCTATAATGGGGCTTTTACTAGCCAAAACATTATTTTTCATCATGATGCATTTACTGTAGTAAACGTCTCTACAGTGTCATTTAATGCAGGTCTGTATGTAGGGATTATACAGGTATTTACATTATATTCTCTACAAGGTTTGGACCGGTGTACCCATTGCATTTCGAGCATCTCTTTCAAATTTTTAAGGATGTGTCCTTGGGATGAACTCTAGAGATTAGTAAATAGTTGCCTTTGTTACATACCATCCTAGTGTTGAATCATATGTTGACAGAATGAAACAACTAATAATTTTAGATAATGTGCTACATACACACTCTAGACATCATACGGCTAATGTAGTTGCGTTGGGAGGATATACATTGAAATCTAAGGGGTTGTCTGCATTTTGCTAATAACTTTTTTAAAACATGCAAGAAACATGGTTCGTATAGTACTTACTTCATTATTCTTTCACTGGTGAAAATATATTTAAGTCTAAAATTGTGTTTTCCCCTAAACAGTTCCTAGAAGAACAAATCAAGACAATATTCTGTCTACACATGACAAACTACTTGCCAATGATATTACAAAGGCTTGCTTGACTTGCTCCACGGAACTAACACATGCTATATATCATTGACTTGTAAGTGGATTCAAAATATTTCCCAGTCAATTTCAATCTCAAATATTTCTCAGTGAAGTTCAAAAGGTGAAGTGAGATTATTTATGTAGGCTTTTAAACCGAATGACAGATGTAAGAATAGGAAATTAGGTACAGCTATGCTAACTTGATCAGAAATTGACTTTTCAAACTATCAATATATTCCTCATACCATCCTCGCATTCTTCTCTTGAACTGTAGGAAGAAATCTGGAGGTGTTTCAGTTGAAAAGTTGTGAATGAACGTCCTTGTATATGTGGTTTCTAGTTGCTCTAGCCTCATGGAGGCATGTATGGTGTCAATCTGGGGACATTCTCTATGTTTCTTTGTCCTTGTTGAGACGAATGACCGATGTTGCAGGTTGGTATGTGTTGCTTTATGGCGGGATGGTATCACGCTAGATTGTAAAGAAAAATAACCATGTTAGAAGCCGCTTAATTTATCTAGCTGTTTTTCTTTGCATTCCAGTATTACGCCAACCCGCCATGCTACAACACATACTACCCTACAACATTGGTCATCGTCTCAACAAGGACAAAGAAATAGAGAGGATGTCCCCAGATTGATACCATACATATCTCCATGAGGCCAGAACAACTAGCAACAACAGATACAAGAACATTCATTCACAACTTTCCAACTGAAATACCTCCAGATTGTTTCCTACAGATCAAGAGAAGAATGCAATGATGGTAAGAAGAATATAATGATATTCTGATAAGTCAATTTCTGATCAAGTTAGCATAGTTGCACCTAATTTCCCGTCCTTACGTCCGTCATTCAGTTTGAAAGCCTACAGAAATAATCACACTCCATCTTTTGAACTTGATTGAGAGATTTGAGATTGAACTCGATTGGAAAAGACTTGAGATCCACTTACAAGTCAATGATATATGGCTTGTTTTGGTTGCGTTGAGCAAGTCGAGCAAGCCTTTGTAATATCGTTGATAAAAAGTTTGCCATGTGTAGAGAAAATGCTACCTCGTTTTGTTCTTCTTGAAACTATTTAGAGAAAAACACAGTACCAGTGAAAGAATAATGTAGTAAGAATTATATGAACCATATTTTTTGCATGCTTCAAAAAGTTATTAGCAAAATGCAGACAACCTCTTGCATCATCAATATGCAAGGAATTCAACCATGTTGACGGAACCCTGTTCGGTTGGTAACGTTATTGAGTTCTGGACAACTCCTTGGATCTACAAGTATATCCTTCCAGAGCAACTACATTAGCCGTATGATGTCTAGGGTGTTCATTTAGCAAATTGTGTAAAATCATCAGTTGTTTCATCCTGTCAACATATGATTCAATACTAGGATGATATGTAACAAACACAACTATTGCTTAATCTCTAGAGTTCACCCCATAAGGACATGTCCTTAAGAATTCAAGGAGATATTCGAAATGCAGTAAATACATTGGCCCAAACCTTACAGGAAATATAGTGTAAAGACTTGTATAATCCCTAGCACATGGGCTTGCATCAAATGACACTGTAGGGCCATGAAGAAAAATCTTGTTCTGGCCAATAAAAGTTGTATTAAAGCTCAACTCTTCACGATGCAGTCTAGTAACATGCATCAACACCTTTTGAATATTGTAGAAGATGAAATCCAAGAAAAACCGCATCATGGGGTGCAATGATTCCAACATCTTAAATATCTGGATGTAATGGAATAGTACAGTACAATAATCCATCACTAACATTGCATTTTTGATCGATTGTCATTGGCATGCAGCAAAACACAATGTTATAGACATATATAAATAAAGGAAATTAACATCAGTTTTAAATAGATAATATTCACTGTCCGGCTCTTTCTCGATAACGAATCTCAATAATTAAGTTCAGTGTAAAGGGTACTCCGACAGTGATTTATCATAATCTAAAACCTTGCCATAACATTGTATAGGTGTCTTAAGCATTGACTCCTATCTTTTGACATGCAGAATTAACTAGAGAATCAATCTTTGTATTAAATACATCCACTTATACAGATACACTAACACCGCATGCCTTGACAAATAGTGATTGGCAGAGAAATAACGGTTTGCTCCTGGTTGAGAATGTGGTGACTGTCATGGAGGCAGTTGTTGCGTGCGGCTGGCACCGTGCTTTGCTGTTGTACCTCCGTGTTTGACTAACGATGTCAGTGAAGCGGATAGATTGGTTAAGTCTCAAAACTCTTTATGTGCAAAGGAGAATGGACAGATTGGATAAGTCTCAAAACTCTTTATGTGCACAACTTTTCCAACTACCATCCATAATAAATAAGTACATTCCAAAAAATGCCATTCAAAGTAAAATGAGCACACATAATTTGGGTTCTTTCCCACAAAAAAGTGTTTAGGACAAAAAAAAATAACAAACGGTAACGATATGCGAGAGCGTGCCAGTGTAACTAAGGACACAAAATAAACAGAAAACATAGGGAACATGTGCTTTATTAATCTCAAGGATCATAAATACAAATTCCCAATGTAATATATATGTATATATGTATGTGCGCTCCATAGCCTGTCGTTGGACAAATCTAAACTTGGATAAGTGGTCTTCTAATTCCTGGGGTCTCGAAAGACTCCTAGTTAATTACTGCCACAGGTTTAGGCCTACAGAGCACCTCCGATTAAGCTGCATGTGGTCGTCTCGTCGTCTTCGCTTCACGTTCTCCATGCACGATGAATGTTGGTGAAGATTGTGGATATATATCTAGGCGCCGGCAACGCATCCGCGGCCTCATCGGTCCGTGCGCCGGTGTTGGTGATGTAGCCTTCATATAGGCTCCGCCCACCCTCGTCGCTCCGCCTCATCAGTCTTGAGCAACGTGGTGGAGTAGATGGATTGATCTTCAACATGCATAGATCTCGTGTCGCTTGGATCAGCAACGACATCAGGATGGTGTTAAAGGGAAGAGGAGTTGGTCAAGTCAGTTGGTGTACACAACAGCCGAATATCCATGGCTGGGCACCTCCTGACTTGATGGGATCAAAGTAACAAAGAGTTGACGATGACAGTTGGTGTAGATGGCAGCCGGATATCCATGGCTAAGCACCTCCTGACTCGTCATGTCCCTTATACAACAGGGACTTGTAACGAAGATGTTGATGAAGAAGTTGGTGCAGACAATAACCGAACAAACGTGGCTTTGGCACCTCCTTCGGATGATGAATCTACTATTGATCCGGTTGATATGATGACGAGCCTGCAAAAGGGGCTCTATGAGTGTGCCGATAGTAACGGCGACCTTGGAAGAAGTAAATGCCTCATCGGCGGAATAGCCGAGGACATTGGTTGGTGTAGATCTAACACGAACGGTACATTGGCATCACAGACGGCACTATTCTTTCTTCATGTTGATATAGACGAGCGACGCTCCAATACACAAACAAGCGGCGGCATATTGATCTCGATGAAGAGGGAGAGAATCACGGACGGACAACATCTCATCTTGGCGTGATGAAGAGAGAGTGCATCATGGACGGACAGCATCGATCTCGCCATGACGAAGTGGAAGCGTTGTAGACAGATGGCATCTCATCATGTTACTATAGATAAAAGGAGACACGGACGGACGGCACGATGACTCTGGCTTGACGAGGTGAAAGCATCGCAGATGAACTTGACGACGGTGTGCGGGCACCAAGCGATGGTGCTCCGGTGTGATGAAGGGATGGCTTCACAGCATCACGAACGGCTTAGCAACCCCAGCGTGACGATGCGGGCACCGAGCAGCTAGCGGCGCTTCGATTGGCATTCTCGTCACGCGGCTCAACGACGAGTGTGAGGAAGATGGTAACACCACCGAAGATGGCCGGCGGACGTCGGCGATGAGATCACAGCAACGAGTAGTGTCATCACCAGCGACTCGACTGGATGATGTCGATCAGATGATTGGCACGGCGACTCCGACGAGGGCAGCACCATGGCTCCGAGGGCAGTGCGACAATCTCCATCGCCCAATGATGTGTTTGGTTGATGTAGACGCGGGAGACTTGGCGACGTTTCCGACGACTCCGACGAGACCTCCTCAGTCGGGCACGACTCGACGACATTCACGATGCCGTGACAACATGCTCCGGCGAGGTAGCGCGACGAGGTCATTCGGCCGGTCATGACGACGTAGAAAAACGGCGGCTTGCCTCCTGGTCCCACAAATGACACTTCCATGAGACTTGGCAAACTCGACGACGGCGTGCGGGCGCCAACTAGCAGTGCTCCAGCATCTCATCACCATCGCCATCTCATGCATGCATGAACTGAAAAAGAAAAATCAATAAGAAAGCCACAGGATCATTACCCATGGTACAGAGGTTGTTGATGCCCATGATCTGATGCTGCCTCTTGTTGTCGGTGAGGTCTCCTCCCGTCGAGCTGGTCCCGCCTGGCTACTCCGATGAGGCTGCGTCTGCGCCGCTTGTGCAAATCGATCAGATGAGGAATAGAAGAGCTGCTTTTGATATCGATCTCTGCATATGTGTGTGTTGATGGTGAGTGAATTGCTCGATGGCTGTGTCGTTGAATGTGTGAGGAATGTGTGTGAATATTGCTATGAATGAATGCGGATGAAGGGTTGCTCGTCAATGGATGGATGTGTGTTTCTCCCCTTGGCCTGGCTTGCTTTCGATGGGTTTTATAGGCATAGGGTGGCCTAACGGGTAGACGCGCATTCTCTGGCGCCGCTACGACCGCGCGTCAGATCGATTCGATGCCTCTGGGTTCAATTGCTGTGGATTGCCTTCATTTGAATCATCCAGATAAGAATGAGTCATCCGACGTTATCCCCACAGCAGTAGCTCACTCCCGTTGGCGTGAATATCCGGCTGCACATACACACGAGCAGCGCAACTACTGGCACCAGCCCATATGCAGCCCAGAGCTAGTCCCAGCTTGCTGCTTCTTTAAGTCCATGAAAGATCATCTATTATACGTATACGTATTTGCTAAGTAAACGACCACAAGCGCAAGCACATGAATCGCACATATATATATATATATATATGCAACTCCACTCTCTTGTTGGCTGGTTCATGCATATGTATATATTTAGCACACATATATAGTTGAGTACATGAGTCATATGGTTGGCCAGACTGATACATCCACACATTTGCATGGCCCATGCATCAAGCTAGCTTCACATGTATTTAGTGATCATAGATAATCCCTTGTTTCTTGCTTTGGCCAACACAAATATTCCTTGCATATGTATAGGATAACCAAAATATCATCAAACAAAAAGACTAGACAAAAGTTATGCGAAAGTTATCGGATAAATTGAGGAGGTGGGAGGCCAGACTAATCCCTAACTGCTTTGGAGGGAGTTGTCTGAAGTCGGTTGTCGCCAAATGTGAATTGGCTAACAGGTAAGTCATGATCTTCCTGTAGATGTTCATGGTACTGACGTACTGTCATCAAAATAGTCCATCTTTGTTCCATCCCAATTGTTCATGTATCTCATGCAGAAAAAGCCACAATCAAACCTAGGAGAAAAAAATAAGTGATGGCACAAGGTGATGAGATAGGAAAAACAGTATAATGAAAAAAAAGGTGAAACAAGTAATTTAAAAGCAATTTACGCATTGGACTGTAGTGGGTACTGTGGTGGAGTGGTTCTGAAACTTTGTTATATCTTTTATTGCAATTTTGGCATCAAGCGCAACCTTGGAGAAGTTAATCAGCTACATTACATAAGGAAAATGTTGAAACATTAGCTCATGGATTGCGAACAAGAATATATGTTGTGTTGAAAAAGTTGTAGAAAACAAGATGGAACATGCATAGTTACTATGCTTTGACAAATGCAGGAACATTAGTTAATGAGTTGCGAGATACAAATGTATGTTGTGCTGAAACAATTGAACATAATAAAATGGAACGTGCTGACATAGTTACCAGGTTCTGAGAGTACTGGAACCATTTTGAGTCATTGCATTTTGGGTCGAAATAATTGATCTGGTCATGAAGAATATTCATGCATAACAACACCTAGTGCCCGTCCCAAACAATTGGGAAGAAGAGCTAGGAGATAGAAAAAAATGAACTAATGTCAGAGATTCTCTGTGCATATGTACTAAAACAATAAATATGTATAGTCTAAGACATTTTAGTGTGAGCTAATGCAACAAAAACCTACCAATTCATGAAAAGAAGGAACAATATAGAGAAAAAAAAAGAAACATACCAGATCTTGTTTTGCGAGTTTTTCCTCCTTGTTAATCGTCTGAAGCTTTAAACAGCTCTGAGGTGTGAACTTCTCTGGCTCAACGATCAACTCAGTCTGCAAAAGAAAAGCTTAGGAAGCAAAAAAATCAAGCACATTAAAAAACAGAAAATCTACGCAACGGTGTCCTGTCCTAACGGGATAAATTAATGACGAAATCCATTCAACAGATCAGAGTATCAGGCCACCACACACACATTGCCTTATCCTCTGGACCTTCGTAAAGCTCATCCCCCCCTCCCCCCAAGTCTATATCTCTCTCTCCCTTGTTCCCCTCATGCTCGTCTGTCCCCCTTCCCCCTCATGCTGGTGAATGTCCGTGCAACCACCATTTATGTCGACCTCCCCCACATCGCCGTCGCTCTGGGCTCAATCCCCCATCTTCTTGCCCTCTACTTCTTCCACTTCGGTGGCACGCCCTTTGTTTTCTTTGGAGAAGGAAGAGGATGGAGATGATGACGTTGACAATGGAGGATGGAGAGAGCTTGCCATGGACTATATAGGTGATAGGGAGTACAAGCAAGCCGGGTTCCTTGGCAGCGACAATGCCTTTCAGCTCTATTGCTATCGGATTTTGATATTGTCTTTGTGTCTTCTCTTTTGGGATGGATGGATGGTGCGAGGCATAGCATGGCTGTTGCCAAAAATGCCGATCAGGTAGCATGTTGGTGTAACATACCCGAATTCTAGGATTAAGGAATTTCTATCAAAACTAGTTGAAAGGAAAGTTCTTCAATTTTGTAAACCAAAAATTTCCATTTTAAACCTAGGTGAAGTTGATCTAACTCTTGCATGATAAAATTTTAAAACAAATTAAAACCTTTGCATCTCTAACCTAGGACAAAAATATAAATTTATGTGTAAGCATGCATACTCTCATAGACATGTTTGACTTGAGTCCTTCATATGCATTTGGATTTGGATTGCATTTGGATTTTCGATTTGCATTTCATAATAGGTCTCATGAATATTAACTAAGATCTAGATAAACAACTAAACCATTAGGGCCTAGTGCTAGCTAGAGGAAGTTAAAATAGAAACCATACACCTTAAAATATATCAACAAGGCCAATGTCAAGCCCCACAAAACTATTTTGGTCATCCATCTGAAGACTAGTCATGAACATGGAAGTGACCAAATAAATTATATCATATAGGGTATATTCTATCTTAATCATCTCTATAAGCATTCTCTTAATTTAATACTAAAGTAAACTTGTGCATAATAGGTAAGGAGCTTATGACCTGTGTAATGTAAATTGTAATTCTAACATATCAACATCACCTCAGGTTAATGAGAGTCCAAATATAACTTTTATAAACATTTACATGCATTTAGGAAAGGGAAACATATATAAGACATAAGTCTTGCGAATTATCTAAAATAATTCGTGCAAGATAAAACCATGGGAAAATTCATGTAGGCTCTAATCAACACATGCAACTCACTGTAATTTTGGTATGATTTAATAACTAAATTTGGTACCTCAAATAAATCAGTCAAACTAATAAAAACTAGATTAACTGTAGTTCTTAATCGGCTAAAACCATACTTTGTCTAAAAGTGCATTTAACTGCATAAAAGTGTATAAGTAAAATAATTTATTCAAATACTAGGTCATTTATAATGAATAAAAATAAATTTTCCAGAATTTATCTTCTCTATTTAGGTCTCCTAAAAATTCGAACTAGTTTCCAAAGAACCCATATTCCTCTAATTTCTGTGAGTAATCTATCCATAATTTTTGAGTGCAACCAAAGAAAATGGAAACTAGGTACATACACCTACCTCCAGTAAAATCAACACTAGTTAATCTGATCAACACATTAAGTATTGAAGCTACAAAATTAGAGGAGAAAATAATTCCGGAAATTCGTCCAAAAACCAAGCTCACCCATGTCTCTGCCTACACATCTCTCTTCCACCTAGTTTACTTCGACCTGGGCCCCCTTGTCAGTCCCTCCGGCTTGCCCTTCCTCTGTGCAACTTCCCTAGCCGACCGAGAAACACTGAGAGGGAGAGATCGAGCGCCGACCGGCTCTGGACGCCGCGCGACGCGTGGCCACGACGTGTCGACGCCCTAAAAACGCCGAGCTCCATTTCTGCCTCTCCCAGACGCGTCGCCACTCTTCACCCACCATTCCAGTGCCGATCCATCCGAGGGAGAGCATCCTCGCTGCTCTTCTCCACTGGTTCTCCATCGCCGGCCACGAAGAAGACAATGGCCGCAATCGTTGATGAGCCGCGGTTGTTTCCTCTTCTCTTGCGTTCCATACTCTCCTCACCATGCCGAATATTTCTCCTTTTGATTTCATCCTCTCTGGTGCAGCCAATCGGCGGGAACGCTGCCGTGCACACCGGAGCTCTGGAGCGCGCTCTGCGCACCGCCGCAGCGACATCGTCGCCGTTGCCATCAATCTAGATCAAGCCGGAGCGAGCCACCACGCCACCAGCTTCACCTCAACCTCCTCTCCATTTCCCCTCAAGAATCTTGAAGAATGGTGCTACGAGTGTGGAGATCGTCCACCGTCTTCTCCACCTCCGGTCGCCGTCGCCATTGTCGATTCCGCCTCCTCCGGTGAGCCATTGTCCGATTCTTCGCGTATACACCATCCCTGGGACCTCACTAACCCCATGAAAACACATGCATGTCAATTCGATGAGTGGATCGAGCCGTTGCCGTCTTCCCGGAGCTCTACACCGTCGCCGGACCATCTTCTTCTCCGCTGCCGCTGTCCAGACTTTCCGGCGCCTCGTTCAAGGTTCGGTGAGCACCCTTGAGCCCATAGGATTGCATTCATGCATTTCATTCACTTAGAATTGAGCACCAACTCAACATGCAGTAGCAGCCTAAGCACAGCCGCCGCTCGGACTCGCCGCCGGCGTTACTCCGATGTCCACTGACCAAGAAAAGAAGAGGAATGGAATCGCAATAGCATGATCTTCATTTTGTCTTTTGGTCGCACCCTCAAACGAGCCACCGTTTGCCGCTGGCAAGCTTGAGATCGAGCTCAGCCATGGCTGTTCTGCCTCTCTGCGTGAGAAAAGAAGTCAGGGACCTTGTTTCGAGAATTTAAACAACTATAAGGTTTAATGTGCAACTTTTCAATTCACTGACATATGAGCCTAGGTCTGCGGGTTGATTCTTAGAAACCTCAGGGATCTTTTTGTATATTGATCTCTCACTGACAGTGGACCCCTTGGAAACAAAATCTGGAATTATAAAAGAACAGTAACTAAAACTTGTAAAATCCATATAAAATTAAATATAGCTCATTTTAAGATGATTCAAATTTCTGTGAACTCACCAAATTGGGAAATTTGATGTTATGGAATAAAAACTTGCACTCACAGTACAAATTTAGCCTCTAAAATTTATCCAAGTTAAATCACACATAAAGCACGCACAAATTTATAAAATGCATACAAAATTCATTTCAACTCATTTTAGAGCAAACTTAGTTTCTACAGATCCACCAACATGTTCTCTAAAAATAAATTAAAATAAAACATATAAACACTTTACATCAAATGCCTCTAAAACTATTATCTTTAAAATAACTAGTTTGGCATAAGATGAACTTTAGAAGTTTATATAAAACTCATCTTAGATCCTTTTTGAATAAACCCAAGTTCTGTATAATCACCAAAACATATACTTCCAAGTTATAAAATAAAATTATATACTTACTTATGTAAGTAATAACCATCATAGAGCAACCTTAAAATGTAAAATTTGTAGAAAATTCATCTTTAGTCTAAATGAAGTGAACCAAATATCTATAGAACCAGCAAACAGTGGGCTTCAACATAGTAAAATAAAATATGGAACCTTCTGTACAGGTTATAGCTCTAAACTTTAAATTTATAGGATAGGAGCTAATCACATAGTATCGATTGAGCAATATGTATATATATAAATGTACATAGAAATACACTCTAGCTATAATGAAACCCAAATAAAACTTGTTAGACCAGTGAATGCATAGTTCCATTCCCATCCACCAAAACTTAAGGCACTTAGCTTATGTAATAATTTCTAGGTTGATATAATAAATTGCTAACATGGACTAGAGCTCCCCTAGTTTATAAAATATGAACCATGATAATAAAGACCATAAGCCTATGAACTAAGGTTAGATTAGTTAACTAAAATACTCATTTTATACATCACTAGCTAGATGAGGCAAGTTCTAGACCTAAACCTCTAAAGCCATGAACCTATAGAACACTATACACCTATAACACGTTATAATTTGTAAAATACATAAAGAATTCATATTAACTCTAAAAATTATGAAACCAAATGTGTTAGTCTTAGAAAACACATATCTTCACCCCAGCAAACATAAACTTAATAAGAATCACCTTATAACAGCATTTCACAATAGTACCTAAGTAAATCCTACGCTATACCGATGAAACTTCTAAAATTCATAATTCTCAAATGAAATGAGATAAAATAGAAATTCTTTCACCTAAATTCATTTTAGACCAGTACCTATTCGCTGTGCACAAATCATCCATTTTAGAGCATTTTGGATTTTTCGCATATTTCGGTGTTTAATTGCATAACGTGTACTTTGTATAGATGATTGCTTAATCGGTGAAGAAGTGATTTAGGTGCTGATATTTTCCTGATTCAAGGCAAGTCCCACCTCCCTCTCTTTGATCACTTTGAACCTATGTTTTGGAGGTTATTGAAAATGTTTGCAAATCTTGCATGTCGATTGTACACTAATAAATTAAAATTTTGTTAAACTTGTTGGACAAACTCCTATTGTTTGCATTCACCTTGACCCCACATATATCCATATCCCTCACTCCTAACCTTAGGAACAATATGACTATACCACTTTATATATGACTTTTGGTGACACTAGGTTACTATATAAAGCTTAGCCATGCTTAGAATTGTCTTCCTTGTCATTATGGGCTCATTACAAACATGAAAATAAATTTTTAATTAATCTGGACAGAACTTTAATACTTGTGATTTTGATAAATAAAATGGTGGAAAAACATGGATTTTAGGTTTGGGCCTCAAGTGGTGCACATATGGTGATTAGTTGTGTACCGATAGGGGGAGAGTGTGCCCAAACCGACCTAAGGACTTCACTCAATGTCAGTTCATTTCGTATACAGTGCAACCACATGTGCTAGTATGGGATAGCCCAAGCTTAGTAAATTATTTATGGTTTAGCCTTACATTCTGGTAGGCTGGTGTGTATGAGTTCGGATAACTCAGAGGAACTTCCTATTTACCCCGACGTGGTAGTTTAGGTGACTAAGTCTGTCCAATACAACGGTATTGTGCCACGTGGGTGGGTTCCCGTTGTGTCCGCCACCACGGCGTTAAGTTTAAGGCGTGGGCCCGCCACTTAACGGTTCTAGGTCATATAACGTGTATGGCTTAGGATGGAGTAACACGTATCGTGCTGGTGTAAGGCTAAATCATGAATTTTGGAAAAGCTTTGTTGTGGGTAATAAATCGGGTACTTATGTATCGCGTGACATGCTCTTGCATGATTATTATTTCGCATCATGTGGGTAAAGTGTACAAACTCTGCAGAGTTAAAACTAATCGATTAGCCGTGCTCGCGGTCATGAGCGGCGTGTGGATATGTATTGAGTATAGACTTGTGTTTACTCTCCTAAATGCTGAAATTTACCTTCAAATTGTGATGAGATTTGAGAATGATCTCCTTGCTGCCATGGATGGCAATAAGGTGAATATTTATACATGATTAATGCCTACCTTGATGCCCAATACGTCAAATACTAGCTTGCTGAAATTTATTTGAAAGTAAACCTGATTTAGAAATGTTTTATGCAAATAAAACTTGCTTTATGCTAAAAAGAACCATATTATGCCTTCCTTGATTATATGCCTTGCAAGTAGGGTCTTAGGCTTGTCTTGGTGCTTGCCAGTACATTATTTCTAATAATGTACTGACTCTTGCTATGGAATTAACCTTTTGCTTGCAGGATTTAGACTTAGCCTTTGAGTGATGCGGGTGATCGACTGCTTCTTCTAGGACTTGAACTTAATGGGGTAAACCCCTAGTCGGTGTGCTTGTGGATTGGGTAGACAAGCTTCCGCTGTTCTATATATTTATTTGGCCAGTCGGCCGATGTAACTAAAGTAGATGTAGTTTATAATCGCTTTCATCTTATTTGTGTTTGCTATGTATAATCATGCTTGAGATGAAAGTGTGAATCTAGTGCACATCCTGGGAACTAGATTCACATGAGTATGAGTTAAGAATATTTGAGATGTTGTAGATCTTTAGCCATTTTTGTCAAGTCTCCTGAATGTGTAACACATCTGGTCACCGCCTTCGAGTGGTTTGACGGGCACATCTCAGGCTGAAGTTGACTGGCAGGCTAAAGGCCCGGCAATGTCTCCAATATTTCTCTCTCGAGGCGTCGGATATTTCATTATACTTGTTTGATGACTTGAATTATACATTTCATCTCTCAATTATAATGGAAGGTCCGGAGAGCCTACGACAGCATGGTATCAGAGCAAATACCGACTATAGGAGCCCCTTAAGTTGGTCGTTTAGAATGATTCCTTAAAATTATTTTGAGTACTATGCTCTCAGCTACAAATTATTTGCGAATATTATATTCTATCTTTTATCTCATCCCTCTTTATAGATTATTTTCCTCTATCTCTATTTTGATTTTGGAAACTCTTATCTTGCTCTATAGGACCGTAACATTTTGAAAATGCTACTTCTGTATAAATGTGTTTGAAATCACCTAATAATCAATATAAAATAATATGAAAGTGTTTTGAAAAGTTTTAAAATCCATTTGCAACCTACACCTATGTACTAGTACGGATTTGTAAAATATCGGGTTAGAGATAGCCTCTAGTGAATGGGTTTTGAAAATGGGTTGATAAAATTTAAAACTTGATAGACATGATAGAATTTCCATCTCCCTATGTCGTCTCTGCACTAAAAATGGATTGGGTTTATTTTGAACTCCTTTCTCCCGAAATTTTAAAATTTTACCGATATGGCCTAAAACGAGTAGTTTTGAATAGGATAGAATTTGTTGTGCTTAAAACTTTAGATTGTTTGCTTAGATGGACCACCCAAAATTCATATAGTTTCTGGACCACTCTAACATAATGCCATTAAAATATGGTGAATTTACGTAACTTAAAACTTGCATAAAGTTTCATTTTGTGCCGGTTATTCTTTTTCTGGAATCTTGAGTCAGTCAGTTTGTTCTTTTTGTCTAGGCTAAACCGTAGGTGATAAACCTGAGAATTTTTACAGGCAACATGTAGACTAACTAAGCAAGCTTCATGAATTTTGACATAATTTTTAGACCCCTGCATCATGGTAAAACAATTTAATTAGGTAGCATAACTACGTTCTGAAATCTGTAGACAGCTGCATTCATCTTTCTGTGTAGCCCAAAGCATGCATGATAAAATATGCACCTTTTCACAGTAGCTTATCAACATACCTAGTAGTCTCCACGAATTTTGGCTAAAGTTTTGAGTCTTTGCATCATGGCATAAAAATTCATATGGCACTGCATAGTCCCAATCTGAAAACAGTAGTCAACCTGGTTGTTTAATTTGTGTAGTCTAAACTATAAATGATAAAATCTTGGTTCCTTCAAGGTAGTTCACAACCTAACTCACCCATCTCTCTGATTTTTGCCTGGATTTTTGCACCTTTAGAACTTGACCTAAAAGTTCAACAAAGACAGTAAACTGACAAAATCCAGCACTGCACTACTTGGCATGATCATTTTCTCTAAAATAATCCACTTGTCCAAAAATCACCATTCTTTTCCAGGTTAAAGACCACTTTGTTAGGATGATGAATATAATATTTTTTTTCTTAGCTTGTCATCCCACTAGCATAGACTTTTGTTTCAGTTTATACCTCGGAACTGGGTAGGACAGCACCTAGCACATATGTCGATTTAGCCCTTCATTAAAAATTTCTTTGATAAACCTCATAGCAAAAACTTTATTTTTTTTAAGGGGGATAGTGTACCATGACCTTATACACCCAGAGACAAATATGCAATCTTGATAAGCCCCCCTCAATGCCTAAAAGAAACCCACCATACTAGGAACAAGTCATAAGCAAACTATGTGATTTATGTTGAGATGGCTCAATGCGCGAATTTTGTACCCCTTTATGGTTGGATGCAAGATCTGTACATTGAAGCAACTCACAAACATGGTTTGGAACCTTGACTTAAAGATTTTGAAAACTTCTCTAAAATGATCTACTTGTTTTAAAAATTACCACCGCAACCTACTAATCAGTTGAACCGAAGGGGATTGTACTATGGCATGTATGCAATACAAAAATACCTTCATAAGCATTGAATCATTCCATACATTCATCGCATCATCCATTTATCATGAAATCATAGCATACATCCATGCCTTCTTAAAAAAAAATATTGCTATACATGCCATCAAGCAACCCACTTAACTTTAAATTGGTAACCTTCGAGCTTGCTGTCCAAAATTTTAAAATTTTGGAAATGTGGGCTCAACTAAGATAGATCAATGACCATAGATCCAAAAAAAAAAATATGTACCATAATGTACCTTGTTAGAACCAACTTCTCTAGTACCACTTTTTGATTATCTACCAAAGCCTTCGTAAACCACAATTGAGTAAAACCTGCCACCCATCTATTAAATAGAAGTTTCAAAATGTTTTATGGTAGCAAGTCTATGATACAACTTAAGAAAGTTACTATCATTTATCAATCCTCAGGAGATAGTCATGACTTAAGCTAACCTCACCCACAGGAAATTAAGTAGAACCTTTTATTAGAGGTATTAAATGTGGTATGTTTGAAAGAGATTTAGAAAAAAAAAATAATTAAATCAGATACTATAGTGTTATCGGAAAGCATCATACAAGTAAAACTTTCGGTAGGTCTTTCAATGTCATCAAGGTTAGGATTATAATCCATTCTTAACTTTGACAAATTACCGGGGGCTCGATAGTAAGAACCACACTAAAAGAGTAGAATTCTCAGGAAGCCAACACATTGAACAATGTAACCACCCACAACCATACCCAAATCTCGGGGACGAGATTTATTTAAGGGGGATAGGTTGTAACATACCCGAATTCTAGGATTAAGGAATTTCTATCAAAACTAGTTGAAAGGAAAGTTCTTCAATTTTGTAAACCAAAAATTTCCATTTTAAACCTAGGTGAAGTTGATCTAACTCTTGCATGATAAAATTTTAAAACAAATTAAAACCTTTGCATCTCTAACCTAGGACAAAAATATAAATTTATGTGTAAGCATGCATACTCTCATAGACATGTTTGACTTGAGTCCTTCATATGCATTTGGATTTGGATTGCATTTGGATTTTCGATTTGCATTTCATAATAGGTCTCATGAATATTAACTAAGATCTAGATAAACAACTAAACCATTAGGGCCTAGTGCTAGCTAGAGGAAGTTAAAATAGAAACCATACACCTTAAAATATATCAACAAGGCCAATGTCAAGCCCCACAAAACTATTTTGGTCATCCATCTGAAGACTAGTCATGA